TAGAAAACTACGAAGGAAAAAAATCATACTCTGATTTTGCAAAGCCTTTCACAGTCTTAATAGACCTTGAGTTTTCCTACCATGGAGTCAAGAATTTCACTGTCTATATTAAACTCAGACAAACTTTCTAAAGGGAAATTCAGGCAGTAGAAGTCTTCCATGCTTAAATGTTGCAGGTGTTGGCTTAAGTAGCTAGATTTTCTATTAGCTCACTGCACATTTAAGATTGGATTTTATCATTGAACGTAGTGATTGTCTTTTCAAGCAGATAGGTTATTTTGCATTTTTATAGCAAGAGCTGTGATTCCTATCTCCATGCCATCTAACATGTTCTACCACAGCACCAGTTTCACTACAGTTAGAGATCCATGCTTCCATAAAACACAAAAGTATCAAATGAAGCACCAATTCCACTTTCACAAGCTTTCACTTGTATTTCAGTCACTGCTGAAAAGGATCTTGAAAATGCTCAGCTTGTTCAGATTCTATACAGACTGCTATCAGATGACAGGAGTGCTCCAGAAATAAAATACAACTCCATGGTGCTGGTCTGTGCCCTTACAGGATCTGGTGAGTATTTGAGAGGGACTGCTTTCCTAAAACATTTATATAATTAATCTTTTTGTAGACTAAACATAGGACACGTCCAAATACACTGAGATTGGTTCCCTGTTCACTGTGAATGTGCACAGAATGGCTCAGTTTACTGTGACACTTTATTTATAGACTCAAGAAAAAGAAGCTGTTAATTCTGCTTTGGATATTAACTACAGAAATCAGATTCTGGCTTCTGCAGGATGCAGATAGCTCCCAGAAGTTTGAGCTATCTGGAAATTTGACAGGAAAAAGATGAAAAAAAAGATGAAAGATGACATTTTAAACTGTATGGTATTGGGCTCTTTGTGCAAGCATGCAGATTACAAGTTAATTTTCACCTTTAGCTATAAGTTCCCTGTAACTGACATATAATGGCTCCTTTGTTGTTTTTCTCTAACTTACTCAAGTAAAATTAGGTGAAAGAGAAGTTTGCAAGGTACTTTTTGACTTTAAATTCCTACAAGAATTGCAGGAAGATAAAAAAAAAGACAAGGAATACTTGCAGGGACACATACAAATGAGAACTTAGTACAACATGTAGATGTAGTCCTGCACTAGGAGGGATCCTCACTCACCTTGCTAGGAAGGGTTCTTCCCTTGGCAGCCCAAGCACGCTCCAGGCACAACTGTTTGTGGTTGTTTTGGATGATGAACAGGAGGTGCTCCAACATATGCAACTTCTGGAAATGGTGATACAGGGAATGGAGCAGGATATCACAAGGAAATTTGATCTTCAACTAAGGATTCAAGAAGTGGCTACGTTTCTTTTACTCACTTGATGTTCTTGTGTGCACTGACAACAAAAATAATCACCTCAGAAATTCTGCCTGACGCTTGCATTTTCACTTCTCCGAGTCCTGTCACCTGCAAGATTGACCAACAGCATTATTTAAAGTCAAATACCTGTCTCCCTCTTCCACCAGAATAAGGGAGCAGTCTTCCCTTATTTTTCCAGGGTTATCCAAGTGGCAGAGATCGGTCTGCCACCACACTGTAAAGCTTTGCCTAGACGTTGGGCATCTTGGCATTCTCCCAGGGAGCAGACAGTACTTTATTGCAGTGCACAGCTGTGAAGAATTCAGAGCTGCCCCAATGTTCAGCCCTGCTTCCTCATGAATAGACCCGTGTAAAAATAGCCAGTATATAAGAGCAACAACTGAGCAACTCTAGTATTAAGTTTTGTTTACCAATTGATTTTAATCAGAGAAGTGAAATCACAAAGAGCGAAGTCCACTCTTGCATGTGAAAATATGAAACATATCTCTTCCAGCTCTGTTGCCTCTAACATTTTCCCCAGTCTCCACATTTTTCATTTACAAGTTTCCATGTTTTATCATAAACAGGCCAGTGTAGCCATAGTTATGTAAAAGCTAGAAAGCGGTTGTACTGTTTCAATTATTAGTAAGTTTAATTCTCCAGTGTCCACTCTTGTTACTGTCCTTAGTTATAGGACAGTACTTGATACTGCCAACAGCTGTGTTAGCAGAAAATAGACATGCATAAATACATGATTTTTGCCACCTGAAGTTGCTGTTGCAACTGAGTGAATGGGTGAGAAGAGGCAAGAATGAGGGCAGTGGACAATGGAAGCGTGTAACCTAAGGAATAAGCAAAAGCAGAGTATTCCTAGCTAGTGCAGTGACTTGTGTGCAATGGTCGCAGAAATGTGCAGAGCACAACTAAATCACAGCAAGCTCCTAAAAGGCAGTTCAGTAACACTGCTTAAGCTTGATGATACCTTAGAAAGGGGAATGAAAGTGCCTACACAGCCTAAGTACCCAACAGCTTCACTGACACTGCTGAATATATAGTGGTTTCCAGGTACACAGCAGTGTGAGAGTTCCCAACACACAAAGACAGGGATAACTACAAGGAAAAAAAAAAAAGTGAAAACATGTGAACAAGAAAGTAGGAAGGGAAAGAAATGCCCAAGTGAGCTGTAAGGAAAAGCCTTAAATATGCATAGCATATATAGCATAGTTAATCTGAAACAGCTGGTTGGGATTCTTTTTTGGGAAGCTCAGGGATTAAGCTCCTAACAGCACCTGGGAAGCAAAAAAAATACATGTAGGTGTTTGTTGCTGAGTGAGTTCATTAGAATGGACTGAACAGGACAAACAAAACCAGCTGCTTTGGCTCTTTAACTGTGGGAAGTCCAGAGCATAGGGCTTTGAGTAAGCTCCCTACTTTAAAAAAAAAAATAAATGAATTGCATCAGTTTTGAGTATTGTTCCCAACCTTTCCTTTTTGACATCAAGAAGAGTGCTATCCAGGATGAGAACTATGAAACAGTCTCAAAGTTTCAAGTCAAATATAAATGCTGTATACATACGCACAATGTTACCTGATGCGTTGTACTTGTGACAAGTTCAGAGCTGAACTATAAATGGGCAGCTACCAGTGACCAGGTGGTGACATATCCTCTTCACACTCTTCACACAACCAACCAGAGATTATTTGAAACAAATGAGCTATGCAGTGAGCCCTTCAGGCAAACTTGTTCACTCCATCAAAATAGTTTAAGGAATCAAACAAAAACATTCAATTAAAAAACTTCTTAAGCGTCTTTTTTGAAAGGCATCCCAGGTGTATTTTTGTAATTGCTATGCAGAAAATTCATCCTTGATCTCTAGCTGAAATCTCTGGGGTCTGGGCAAGTCCAAGGCTTCAGAGACTTCATCAATTCTTAAAAGCAATTCAGAACAGTAAATAAAAAGATGACATTTATGGGCTTATGTGTATACAGTGAGTACAGTGCTGACACTTTCCTAAGTGCCTCATACTACACTTTGCCCATCTCATACGAAGCACTGTTTCTTCTACTGTTTCTTTTCCAGAATCTCTCCAAAAGGAAGTGCAGAACATGGCGTTCCTAGAAGTTGTATCAAAACTCCGCAGCCATGAGAACAAAACTGTTGCCCAACAGGCCTCGCTAACAGAGCAGAGACTTGCTGTAGAAAGCTGAGGAAGGTCTTGTTTTCATTGCATTCATCACAGATTCCACCTTCATCCTTTGTCCTGCTGTCGCTCCTGCTATGTTTTCCACTGTATCACTTGTGCATGCGTGTAATGTCCCCACACAAATTGATGAACAGCTGTAGGTACCCATCCAAAACGATTTCTAAAAATTCATAGGTGGTGTTAACATGAACCTGTCTCTACCCGTAACTGTTCTACTTGTATTCTTGTTGCTTGGGCCACATAGTAGAATGTGCATGTTGTAGTCCTATGATGATGTAAAAGTGGTACTACACAATGACTCTTTCCTCACACCCCCCTAACTGCATAACAATGTACTACTAAATTAGGGACAGTACAAGATGCAGCAAGTCCAGGCTAGTGCACTGACTGTAGGATTAAGAAATAAATCTAGCTCCATTTTTGGTGCTCCGCAGAGGCAGGTTTGAATGCAATGTACTGCTGCTCATTCACTGGTCTTGCCTATTAATGTCAGACTCATGGTACCTAGAGGTAAACAAATAAAAAATTCAGTGCTTTCACTTATCCTGTGATTTGTCCTTTTTCTTACTCACACACAGAAGCTGTGTCTGTACCAGCATGTACTGGTGAAGAGCCCTTGTTCCTGGCTCTGGCCCCAACACAATCACTGACTGCCTTTCAGCTGCAGGAGTACAAAGGAAACAATTCCAGCCTCTTTCACTGTGTACGATCATGCACTGCGATGGTTTAACAATTGTGGGTTTCAATGGCAGAAGCTATGCAATATTTATTCCACAAAGCCATGTATGTACATGTGCTGTTGGGCTTGCTTGGGTTGGGTGGATTTTCGCTACTATACTTAGGTGGGTTTTTTTTAGATGGATTTTAAAAGGCATATCTCGCAGCAGCTTATCGAGAGAACCCGTCAAGTGAGAAACGCATGCAACTCTTCACCTATGTAAAGGAGAATTCAATGCTCCCAGTGCTATCCAAACTCTCAAGCTCCTTGCTTACCAACACAAGTCAAACCTAGAGCCCAAGCACCCATGTGACTCCACACCATATGGTTGCAAAAGACAGCTTCTGACCATCCCGAATTCACTGCCAGCTCTCTGAAATCACTGGGCATCTCACACCATGCCCAGTGAATGGAAGATGCCACTCATGCCAGGAAATGAGTTATGCACAGAAGCTGCATATGAAAAGAGAATGGACACTTTCTTCAGTTTTTTTCAGATGTGAGACTGTGCCAAAACCCAACAGATGCTACAGGAGTATTCACACAAAATTTCACACCCATTTAATCCAGCGCCAGAAATTAACTGGCAACAATCAGTAAAATGCAAAGAAAAAGCCTCAAGTACCAACTGTACAAAAGCCTCTTATTTTTAAATAAATAAATAAATAAATAAATTCAAAATTAGTATAGCTATCAATAAAGCCACCTCCAGATCATATTGCTGTAGACATAGATTATAATCCCATAACATGAGGCTGTGAATAATGCAGAACCACTACACCGGTAAATGCAGCCTGCATGTTTACAATCACAGCTCACAGCAGGCCCATATGAGCCCAAGTTTTCTCAGGCACGGAAAGAATTTCCATTGATTCCAGTAGATTCCAAAATACATTAGAAAGAGCATTTAGCAATGACTTACCCGCTTCTAGATTCTTTATTCCTTTATATACTGGTATAAGCCACAAGTGCTCACATAAGCAGGGCATAACAAAGGGGCGACAACTCCCATTCACCTACTTGTCTAACTGGACTTCAAGTTAAATATCAATAATTCCTGTTACTGAATTTTAATTAGAAATACTGTTGGCACAGCAAGCGTAAAGGCCAACAGTGATACCCTTTAATTTTCAGATGGTTTCCTAGGACAGAATACCAAGTGACTTACACTTCTAGATAAAATCCATGCTAAGTCTGCACAAATGTGAAGATGGTTTTATGCCATGGCAGAAGAAGGCAACTGAAGAGATTATCTGTTCACAAAAATGCTGCACTGATCTGAGGCACGTGCCAGCCTGCAGGATATTTCTATGTAGTTGGCAAATCGTTTATCCTCTCAATCTCTCTTCATTAGAAAAACAAGATCTAAGAACAACAGTCAAAAACACAGTAGAAATAAGGCCAGGTTTATGCTGCACTTTGATGTTCACGTCTCTTTGTCTGCAACAGAACTAGAAAGAAGCATGTACATTTGGGCAGCATGTAACCTGTCACAGCCAGAAGCTGTCTCAAGAGAAATGATCATGATCACTCAGCCCAATTCATTCTGACTCATTGATCACACCATATCAGTGACAGATGAACAGCTCACTGGCCCATAGACATTCAGAATCTGTATTTCTTGGTGAAACTTATGAGAAATGCCTCTCACAGAGCCCCATCGGCCAGAACTGTACTGCAGGCTTGTACTCAATGCAGAATCCTGATTAAGTCAGGTAAAGGCTAAGATGAAGGCAAGATTTTCCACTGTCGGAATAGCGGTGATAACTACTGTAGGGGGAATTAAATCAGGGCACTGACCTCCATTTGGAAAGTCTTTCCAAGCGATATTGTCAATCTGTTTTCCAAAGTGCCTCAAACCAACTACACCTATTATTTACTGCAAAACAATGCAGGTTGATGAAACACTATATTTTAGATATACTGAACTGGATTTGCTTTCCCTATAGCTTTTGAAATACTAAGTTTTTTTCCCCCCTCTGCATAAACAAGTATGAGACATCATTACACATTTTTACCTGCACAACTCAATAAGCCTGCTCTCACTATTTCTATTTGAGATATTACACTTAAAAAAACAAAGTTCCCACTTTCCTTTACAAAAGCTTAATGCATGACAAAATGCTATACCCCTTCGTGCTGCTCCCTGCAGAGATACAACTTCTGAACACTTCACGGTCACTAAAATGACTACGGTGGGAGCTCCGACAGCTGTACTGACCAGCAGCCACAGCAGCGTGAGGAACACCAGTGACCTGTCAGAAACAAACAGAGCACATTTGTTAGTTGGACTTCAGTAACAGCTGACACTAGATGTGAGTTTTCATCTCTTGAGGATGTGTTGAAGTATTAGCTTATTACTTATTTAAGGGCAGCCACTGGCAACACACAACACACTTCACAACTACTTCAGAATGTAAATTATATGTGCACATGAGACCCAGGGATTTATTTTCCCTGCCAGTCTGGGGGAGAGAACAGGATGGCTTTTCCCAGAGGAGTTTTTTGCCTGAAATTTGTATCTTCAACGTTGAGTGCTACACCAAGAGTACACAATCACAACACCATATTTCACGCAATTTTATTTATAAAATTGTAATTATCTAACAAATTGCATATAAAATGATTTACTTCAAGTAAATACAGAGTACTGCACAACTATTAAAACTATTGTGTTGTCCATCATAAGTGTATTAAAACATACCTAAAAAATGCATTTATTAAAAAACAAAAACTCAAGAACACGAGTAGCATGACCAAGACCACTTTCAATAGCTTAAAATGAATTACCAGGAAGTTGCATTAACTTCCTAAGTATACTCCAGTTACATCCATTGAGATCAGCATGTGATACAATACCACAGTCTAATGCTAAAGATGACAAGTAATACATATGCACCTGATCTATGCTTTTCTCCTAGACCGAAGATAACCAGTCTGAAATCAGATAACTAAAGCTCAAGTCAAACTCTACTGGGCATGCAGTTCTGTTATACCAATACTTTCAATCAGTAAGTGTAGTTGGCTTTTACAATCAATTTTACATCTGATAAAAAAAGGAACACAAGAGAATACATTCGTATAAAAAGGAATGATACATAAAGGGTAAATATCAACACTTTCCTTGTGCCATCAGATGAACCAAGTGCAGAGATTCAGTTCTAACTGATCTGGAACACACTTATCAGAGATGGATCTGAGCCACAAAACCCAAATCCCATCCTCACCAGAGACCAAGGCAGCATCAGGTCCATCTCTACTGAGTACACAACATGAACATGAACACACATACAGATGGAACTTCTCATCAACAACTTTGTATTGCTGAAACACAACAGACATCTATTAGCGTGGCGTGGCTGAACTCCTGCATGGTGCACGCTAGCAGTCACAATGTTGCTGCACATTAGAGGAAGAAGATTTTTCTTTTCTTCAAGTGGCAAAGTTTGGTACGTAGCAGATCTAACAAAGTAGATTGTTTTGTTTGCATTATACAGTTCTGCTATCAAATACAGACACCCCAAAAAGCTTCAGAGAGAAAACAAAAATGAAAAAGAGAAACTGGAACCTTAACCAGTTCTTGACACCTGTTGAGATTTAAACTCCCCCCTACTCATTTGCAGAACAACCACTACAATGCACCCAAATGGCACACATACAACAAGAAAGGAAGTGGAATTTAGAATGCACATGAGAGTTTCTCTTGTGGCCAACATCGTTCATCAGAATCAATTTTGCTAATGGCATCTCTAATGAAGTAAAAATGCAGATTAACATCCAGGACCATGGCAATTCAAATAGCACCATGCTTAGTACTGCTGCAAGTGATATTTACCTCCCAAAACAGGTAGAGGGCGCTGACTCTGATACTCCAGTTTACAATCTAATATTATTCTCCTAATACCAAGTAGCAAAGGAAAAATGCAAGGGAGGTCCTGATACTAACAGAGCTTTCCCTTCTCTTTCCCTGCGGGCTGCAATTGGACCGGCAGACACTAGGTGGCAGGCGACTAAAGAGCTTCTCACCGCAGGGCGAGGTAAAGCAAAAATGGCCACTTGCTGGGCTCATGTTCAGCCAGCAAAGTTGCACGGTGGATATCTTGCTTGTCAGTATAAACACTTTGAGAGTGAAAAGCAATCATGTGCAAGAATCATTTAATCTGCATGCTATTATTTACATTTCAAACACTATTTACACACCAGAACCACAATTAGCATCTCTCAAGGGGAGAGATGGCTTTCAGGACAGAGCTCACTTGAGCAACATCTCCACTGCTTCAAACTCTAAGGGGTACAATCAAAATTATGGATTTTGAAACAAAGATATCTACTTTCTACCAAAACAAACACACAGACAAACCAAACATTTGTTCATTAGGTATTTAAAAAAAAAAACAACAAAACACATTTAAAAAGGCTCATGAAGATGAAGAGAGAGAATTTAGCAGAGCAGAGGAGCAAGAATTGTGGTGCCCTTTGCTAGGGCTCAGTGGAGAATTCAGAAATGGCTTTAAAATCAGGGTTATCACCAAAGCACAACCAGACCTCTAAGCAGCAACATTCCCATCACATAGGAAGCGCACAGCAAACAGCAGTCTCATGCTTCACAAAGGGCCACAAGCATGACAACAAATTTCTGAGCAACCTCTGCAGATTAAGGAAAGTTACACTGACCTCTGAATTCACTTTATCCACTAGCCCATCAGGCAAGCTAGAGATTGCCAAAAGGTCATACTGCCTACTGTATCTTATTGCTTTGGAAAACGAGTCCCTGTAACTGGCAGTTGTGCTCTAGTTGTGCTCACCTGAAGTTTCTGTAAGGTTTTCTGGAAGAAAGCTTGATTGATTTTGGTAGGTTCTGACCTACCAATCTGTAACAGATTGACCTCCAAGGTTTCCCACAAGCCTTCCAAACTGGACACCTAAGCTGCCAATAGCTGGGGCATTTCTAGGACATCTAATCCAATCTGTAGACAGAAATGTGGGATTTAAATAAGCAATACAGGCAGGTAATCCTGAACATTCAGTGTTCATCCATCAAATAACTGCAAAAATGAGAAAAGTTATAGAGAGTTGAGGGGCAGGGGACGGAACTAGCATCTGCAGTAAAAAATACAAGGCCTGGAAAAATAAATTTAGTGGTTTTTTATAAGAACAGTCACTCTGGGACTCAAAAGATATGTTGCACATTTGTGAGTACATGTGCAAAAACTGAGAAAAATACTTGCTCACCTCAGATTATTTATCTTCCTATCAGTCTGACACTGCCAGTGTACATTCAGCAGACCAGAGCTCACAGAGCAGCACAACGAGGCAGAAGGCCAATACAGAAAAACTGCAGAAATTCAAGTAGAGGAATGGAAGTTGTCTTCAGAAGCCCACAGCAGCAAAAGTAGCATTCAAAATCAGTGGCAATAAGGAATGTTTCTGTAATACAGACTTTTTTTCTTCAAAGAAAAGTGCGGGGTCACATCAAGGCTCTTGAATGAAGGAGTTATTTCCTGAACCAGACTTTCTTGATTTCTCCCCACACCATTTCATCAGTGCAGCATAGGTGCTGATGATCTATCTGTCCTGCTGCTATCAGGCAAAATGGTGTGTCCCTTTGTGGGAAACAATCACCAGTAACTCCTCAAGATGAGGAGTGACTAAGAAAAACATAACACTGTGGTGAGGTGGAACCAACTTTATTAAGGACAGTGAATTATAATTGCTTGCAAAGGCTTAAAAAAAAAAAAAAAATACTCTGAGTCATGGCTGGCCTTTAACAGCAGATACCAAAGGATATGGAGGCTGCCTGATTCAGAGACAGTCAGTGGGAGTTAACCAGAAGAGAATGAGGTAATACTGAAAGACAGAAGGACCAAAGGACTTTCTGTAGCATCTCTGGATCATCAGTCTGCCCAACGCCAGTTTTTAGAGCGGGGAGAAACACAGTTGACTAAAGCAGAGAAAGGCAAAATATGCAAGAGTACGTATAATCACATGTTTAAGAGTCGTGGAACCAGTAAAGACCTTAATAGGCCACCAGAGCAGCTTCCTATCCATCCACCACAGCAGGGACACTTAGGAAACAACACATTAACTCTTCTACTCCATGTACTCCTCTGAAAAATCATTTCTTGCAAAGAAGTGCTACACAACTTTTTATCGCTGTTTTACCAAAGCAGGAGCAAAGAGCTCATAGCTTTCAGGGCTTATTCTGCAGGAACTGGAGAAGGTCATAAAAAAAGTGTAATCTGTACAAAGTGCAGTGAAACTATCCAAGTCATGGTCAGGTTTGTAAATTCATTATTATTTTTGAAGAACAACAAATCAAACTTTAAGATTAATGGAATCTGATCTTATTCTTCTTCCACTATTTGAGCTTGATTCCAAATTTTGTCCATTTCAAGAGTATGTGTCTTGGCTGATCCTAATACACATTTCTATTTTAGAACTTTTATTCCATTGCTTCAAGATTTTTGTTGTTGTTGTTGCGTTTTACGCAAGAAAGGGAGACTTATCTTCATAGCAAGGATTTGTCCTTTGAAAGTAAGCATTTATTCTGGTAAAAGCTATTCTCTCCAAGTTCCAAAGGAATGGAATATGATCTTCCCATAATCACATGCATTTACCAATAAATAAGTTTGAATTAGACTGTATTAAAACATATGCACAGATTTAAAGCACTGGAGTGTCACAGATTCTTACTCCACAGCTCATGCAAGTGAAAAGAATCGAAGGAAAAAAAATTAAAAGACCAAAGCCTCAAATAGGAACAGACCTAGAAATTATCTTAAAAGAAGTTTTGTACAAGTATATCAAAGCATAATATTAGTGAGATCCCTAAATATATTAGGTTACACTAAATTCCAGAGAAACAAAAGACTTAGCCATATCAGATGCTTTCATTTTTTAAGTTAATATATAATTCATTCTTTGAATAATAATATTCACTTGGACCCAATATCCACGCGGCTTTCATACATTTATACAGTTATATCTCATTCTTGCCTTAAGAGAGTGATGTCCTAAGGTATGGCAGCAAATAAAGGTTCTACAACCCTTGTTTGAAAATATAAAACTCCTTCCCCTTGTACAAGGGTGGAGAAAGGAAGAAAGATGTTGATAAAATTAGGCAGTTCTCCCTGTGAGCTTGCTCATTCCAACTTGAAAATACTACAGGGAGATGGCTGGAACCTTGTGTAAAAAAAACAAAACAAAACAAAAACAAAAACAAAACAAAACAAAAAAAAAATGACCACACCAAAAAAGTAACTTTCCCTTGTTTTAAAAACAGTTTCATTTACTGTACAATAGATGCATAGAAAGTTGCTTCCTGCTTGATGAGTTTAAGCCTGTAGCTACGTTTATCTGTGAAAATAAGAAGACTGTTCCTTTAGAGTGGTGAGATGAGTAACCATCTCAGGAATACTTGGCAGATACTAAGAGCTCATGACATGAAGAATAAACAGTATATCCATAGATAACAATGATGCAACTCTGTCCCACTGAATACACCAATTTTTAAAAAGTGTCCACTTGTTACTCAGGATCAGGAATACAGTAGAGATTCACAGCTCAACAGCTTTCGAACTGGTGGTTTAAAGCAAAATAAAAATAAAAATAAAATAAAATAAAAAAATTGTCAGTGAGCAGCAGATTTTAAAGAGCCACTCTTCTCATCCCCACCCCAAAGAAATATGAGTTCACTATTTCCCAATATCAGGAACTTAAACTTGAGACTTTGTGGGAGAGAAGGCTTCCCTGTCACCCATGTCCATACAGCTTGGTGTCGGAGAGACACACTGGAGGTTTCAGAGGGTTTCGGTTGTCCAGTGTCTTGTTGTGGTTACTTCAGCAGTTTTACCAGCTGGCTCTGACAGCCTCAATGTCACTAACCAAATTCTGGGCTAAGCAAATCCCAAATATCTGGAAGAGACAACAGTTTATTCATTTGGAGCATTGGACAACTCTTTTCAGGTAAATCCCTTCAGTTATACAAAACTTTGTTAGGAAAACAAGCAACAGAAAGTCAGTAAGTTAACAGTAAGTGTTGGCAGAAGAAAGTATTGAAAAACTCCTGTAACTTTCATCGTTTTATAGCATTCCTGGGTTCCAGGAAATTGAATTGTTCTATATTTGCTTCACAAAAGCAACAGTAAAGGCATTCCACTGCTCATTTAAACACCATCAGAAACTGTAGATCTGTATGGGCTTAAAAATCTCTAGCCAATCTTTATCTAAGAGTGTTGATATTGATCTGTGAACAGCTGAAAAGGAAAATCTTTACTGACAAAAATTAAGTACCTCTTAACACACACAAAAAAAGTCTCAAGCATTTTGCACACCTCACTAAAATCTACAGACCTTATATTTCTAGGTGAAACTCATACGGTATTTCCAATTCTCATATTCAGCCCTCACCCAGCACCTGCATGTTTTATTTCTCTGCTATTCTTCTATGTAACTCATTACAAGGAACACAGCACATACCTGCAGTAATGCTATCCCAATGAATATACCAGCAACTATGGTAAGATTGTCCTGCAACCATTTCTCAAATTGAGGGACACAGCCTTTAGTGTAGATAACAATCTGCTGATCAACTTCCTGCCAGAGAAAAAGGAAGAAAAGAGAGGTTGTTACATTCAATTATCCCACCAGTAAAATAACCTGTTTTTTCCAGAGGGATTCAGATTCTTAGAACACATTAGAAGAAGAAAAAAAAAATGCTTACTGGTTTTTGCCGTGCATCATAGCCACACTGAGTATTAATAACATCTTCCTAGGAAAGAGAGACAAACAGGAGGCAAATGAGTGAAAAGAAATGTCTCCAAAGCATCCTGTCCCAGTTGCCCAGAGCTAGTCCTGTATGTAGTAATACAACCAGCTCAGTTTTGGTCTTCATACTACTTTTTAAAAGATCCTTCTCTCTTCCATTCAGTGCTGCCAATTATTAGCAATAAACAAAACCACAAGGTGTTGTGTTTTACTTCCAGCTTTCAAAGGAGCGCAGTTGGAAAATCAGCCCTCTACCTGGGTAAACCCCACATTCCATATGTAAGCATTTGGAAATCAAAGCAAAAGGATTAGGATGCATCTGCTTGAAGCAAAAGAACTTTCCACTCAAGAAGTTTTGTCTGTTTACAAAAACTACAGTTAAAATTTTTCAGGGCTCAGTCATGAAGAGGTAAGAAGGAGAGATTCTATTTGCAGAAACTGTAAGCTCTTACAGGATGGCTGTAGAAATATATATAAGTACCTAGTTCCTTTCCAAAACAATAGAGGAAAAAGGAGAAATGGGTAATGTTTACTAGTGCCCATTCTTTCTTATAGGATCTTGATAGCAAAGGAGGAGGAGTTTTCATCCTATTGACTGCTTCAGAACTCCTTGAGCACCTTCAGCAGGCTACGACAGACTTTTCTTACTGAACAGGCGCTACCCAGTGGAAGCTGAGGCTGACTGCAGGTATTTCAGGGCAATAAAATGAAGCAACTAATTTGCTGCAAGAACCGCAAAATATTAAGTTATTGGCTCATATAATAACAGTGAGCAGAAGGAGCTGCTCAAGGAAGTCAGAAAAATCAGCCAGTATTAGCTAGGTGTACTGAACATCATAATTTAATCAAACTGTGGGAAAGAATGATCAGCAAAGATAGATTTTAAATAACAGCCATACAGAAAAAGAAATCTCCTCCCATTAGCACTTAAGCTCCTCTAACCTCTTCAGGAAGTACATCAACAGGTATCAATCCTGTTGCCCAAGCTGAATTCTTTCATTGGACCATTAGGATTTGAGCAATTTTTATTTTTTAATGAGAAGAATGTGCCTGTTCCTGGACCTAGCATATCAGAGAGCCAAGCAATTCCGGGCTTCAAAGCAGATAAGCTTTCCTTTTTGTGTTGAGCATCTACTTGCTTTATTACCAATGTCTTCTGTCTTTAAGCTCAGGATCTGATAACTGAAAGAAAGCATGAAGAATGAAATGGAAATACGCCAACTTTTCTAGGCCTTGCCTGTAGAAAAACATAGAACATTTCAACTTGTTAAATGAACTAAAGGAGTCTAAATTTGTTTCAAAGGAGATTTGCTTTGGCTTAGCTTAGACTTATCATTTCCTGATTTAAGCTAAACTAAATGCTACACCACAAGCAAATCCTGTTCAAGAAAGCATGCACATAACTTTCTGCTTCAGTCCAACACTGCACTCTAATTCCAAAAGACACAAATTTGCTTCCCAAGGAATAAATCTGTATATATCATTGCACACAATTAACCTGTCACAGTTTGGTTACATTTAAATTCATTACATGCAGTAGGCAATTTTTATTTTAAAGGCAATTAAGTGTGTTGCTTCTCTACAGTGAATAAGAATGAGACTTATCTTAAAGTTTCTGGTTACTGCATCACCCCCCAAAAAAATGAATAACTATATACACAGACAGAAAACTTTAGCATAGATTATGTATTTATAGGATTACATGGTAGCACTGTCACTGGTTTGGTTTTATAACAACTTTATTTTTAAAACTGGGTTGTGATGCACTCTCTGTGCTGGTAGGTGGGCAGACTGGTGAACATTAGGGGGAAATCCTGAGCTTAAAGTAAGGCTTTAGCCTAACATGCTTTCCACTTTGTTATACTTTTTTAAAAGACACATAGATATTCACAAGAAATATTCAAACTAGTTTGAAGATGCATTCAACTGCAAAGGAACCAGAATGCAGCATGTGCAAATGGTGGGCTAAGGAGGACAACAGCTGAAGCAACTAGATGCCTAAGGAGTAACTGCTTTGCATTAGCAAGGCAGGAAGCACCTGACCTGCCTGCGGGCAAATCACCTGATTTTAATTAGTGCTATGGACTTAGATATTCAAGGATCTAGAAGTCATTCCAGATGGAGAAAAACCACTTGAGCCACAGCTGAACTACCAGATAATACAAGGCTGCTTCTTTTAAACTATATGAAAGTCAAATATATGCAGTGTTACACAGAATTTACACAAAATTGCAGGGGCTGGAAGTGACCTCATGAGATCATCAACTCCAACTCCCCTACTAAAACAGGGTACCCTAAAATGGGTCACAGAGGTAGGTGTCCAGACAGGTATTGAATATCTCTACTGAAAGAGACTCCAAAACCTCCCTGGATAACCTGTTTCAGTCCTCCATTAATGATTCCATAGAGATATTGTACCACATGTTAGTATGGAACTTCTTGTGTTTATGTTTTAGGCCATTGCTTCTTGCCCTATCACTACACATAACCAAGAGGAGCCAAACTGCACCCATTTGCCTCCCACCTCTCTTCAGACATTTATAAACATTAATCAGATTCCCTCCCCCAGTTTTCTTTTCCCCAGGCTACACAGATCCAGGTTATTCAGCCTTTCCTCACACAAGAAATGCTCCAGACCCTTGATCATCTTTGCAGCCCTTCGCTGGACTCCTGCTAGGAGATCCCTGTCTTTTTTGAACCAGGGAGCCCGGAACTGGACACAGTATTCGAAATGTGGCCTCACCAGGGCAGAGTAGAGGGGGATGATCACCTCCCTTGACCTGCTGGCCACGCTCTTTTTAATGTGCCCCAGGACAGTACTGGCCTTTTGGCCACGAGTACACCCTGCTGGCTCACAGCCAACCTGTTGTCCACCAGAACACCCAGGTCTTTCTCCACAGAGCTCCTCTCCAGCAGGTCATCCCCTAACCTGTACTGATGCATGTGATTATTCCTCCTCAGGTGCAAGACTCTACACTTGCACCCGTTAAACCTTATCAGGATCCTCCCTGTCTAACTCTCTAGCCTGTCCAGGTCTCACTGAATGGCAATGCATCCTTCTGGTGTGTCAGCCATTCCTCCCCAATTTTATCATCAGCAAAGCTGCTGAGGGTGCATTCTGTCATAGATCACTGATGAAAATGTTGAACAAAACTCAGCCCAGTACCAACCCCTGGGGAATACCACTTGCTACAGCTCTCCAAATAGATGCTGTGCCACTGATTACAGCTCCCTGAGTTTTGCCAGTCAGCCAGTTCTCAACCATCCTCACCATTCACTCATCTATCCCACGCTTTCTACACTTACCTACAGTGTTTTGGGAGACTGTGTCAAATGCCTTGCTGAAGTCAAGGTACACATCTATTGCTCTCCCTTATCTACCCAGCCAGTGATGACATCATAGAAGGCTACCAGGTTGGTCAAGCATGATTTCCCTTTGGTGAATCAATCTTGACTACTGATAATCTTCTTCTTTCCAATTGCTTAGAGATGGCATCCAGAACAAATTGTTCCATCATGTTTCCAGGGACAGAGGTGAGGCTGACTGGCCTGTAGTCTTCTGGATCCTCCTTCTTGCTCTTTTTGAAGACTGGAGTGACACTGGCTATGCTCCAGTCTTCAGGCACCTCTTATGTTCACCAAGATCTTTCCAAGATGATTGAGAGAAGTTCAGCAATAACCTTTGCCAGCTTCCTCAGCACACAAGGATGCATCCCCTCGGGGCCCATGGATTCGTTTGAGTTGATTTTAGCTAGATACTCTCTGACCAGATCCTCCTAGACCAACAGGAAGTCTTCCTTTCCCTAGACTCTCTCTCTCTTACCTCCAAGGCCTGAAATTTCTGAAGGCTAGTCTTCATATTAAAGACTGAAGCAAAGAAGGCATTCAAAATCTGCACCTTCTCAACATCCCCCTGTTACCAGAGTATCTGCCTCAGTTAGTAAGGAACCCACATTTCCCCTAGTCTTCCTTTTACTGTTGACACACTTAAAAAACATCTTTCTTGTTATCCTTTACCCCCTCTTTTGCAAGGTTTAACTCCAAGATGGCCTTAGCCTTCCTCATCACATCCCAACAGGACCTGACAGCATTCCTACATTCTTCCCAGGTGGACAGGCCCTCTTCCCACATTCTATGGACCTTCTTCTTTCCTTTTACTTTATCCATGAGTTCCTTACTCATCCACACAAACCTCTTGTTACCTTCCCCAGATTTCTTACTCTTAGGGATGCACCAATCTTGAGTTTGGAAGTAGTGATATTAGCCACGTAACCCATCCTTATTCTAAGCTTCTCACTGTCAGTGAACTGCTTCCCTACACTCTTGATCACGTCCGTACTATTAACGTATAGCCCCAGCATCTTCTGCTTGATGTACCAGAACTATTTAAAAGGACATGAAAATGTATCAAAAGAGCTCTCTCTTCAAACAACGTCTGACCCTTCAAGTCTGATCTCAGGTGACTGCAGGACAAGCTAATTTTAAAAGGAGAGAGCGCAAAAATGTCTGCGGCTGTCTAAAGACTGTAACACAAATATACACCAGTTCTTCAGAACACAGGATGTCACTTATTACTACACCTAGCGCAAACCAGGCCAATATGACTACAGCCTCTGGACACTCCATTAAATAATGAGCAATACATGCTTTAGAGTGTCTGATCTTTAAGTTGTTCTTTAAGGCAGCAAATGAAGCATCCTGATGATAATCAATTAAAAGCTCATATCCTTCAACTCATTATAGACTTCTGCTTTTTATACTTGATAAGATTAACATATACATTCAGCCGAAATTGTGCTTCTCTCATTCTAATGAAAAACAGCAAACATTAAAAGCATACAGTGAAAACTTAAGTTAGTTCTGGATTTTTGCTGGTAGAAGAGAAATTAGTAGTTACGCTGTGCTTCAAGTAAAAAAAATAAATAAATAATGGTAGAAAAGTTAAGATCATGCATGACTTCCAGAAAAATCTCATACAATCGTTTAAAATTGAACAGCAAACCCCTCCTACTCTCTTGACCAACTTACGGCAGGGTCTTTAGTGCAGCAAGAGAATGGCACACCACAGCGCTCTCGACTTGCATTGGAATCTGTGCAATTGAAGTAAATATTAAGGTTCCAGTCATCAGCTCCAAAAGCCCCGCAGCACTGCCACTAGAACACAGAAAGGAGAGCTTTTTGACTTTCAGTATCAACAAATCTCAGCATGAAAGCATGCATAATTACTGCTGGTTACCTTCTAGCTTTCCATAAAGAATCCAAGATACCTTCATTTAATTGGACATAATTTATTTAATTTTTAAAAACCACTCCAAACTACTAAGTTATTCTAAAATTATCATGGGATTACAGTTCTGTTCACACCCTGCAATGCTATTGTTTGGAAAGAAAACTACAGAGCAAACTGATACACTAAAGCCATAGAGTTGCACAGTCCTAGAAGCTCACGCCCCAAGGACAGTATAATGAAGTGTGATATTCTGCCCCGTCTAATGTGCCATGAGCTCTTAACAGATCTGATGAGCAGTAAGTGATGCACTACTGTAGCTATTCCATTTGCCAGTTTGAAGGAATCTTTGCTAGGCTGTATACTAGTCAGTATGAATTCAGCATTTACTGCACATCACAGATTGCACAAGTAACCCTTAACTGAAGGAAACCAGAATCCTTCAAAAAGTAAATACTCTAAATGTTACACTTAGTCTCTGGTAAAAAATCTGCAAAGAACAGACTAGACTTCAGTGGAGCACTGATTGTTTACAACACTCCAGAATCTAGCCCAAGGAACCCATCTATGCAAACTAAAAGCATACTAATAATAAATAAATAAATGAAACTAAGCACATTTTAAAGTGTTGGGAATGGCAATTCTCTCCCTCTGGATGTAAATACAGTTCCATCTGCATTACCAGAAATATGTTGTCTTCAAGCCTCATCTCTCCTCGCTGAAAAAGTAACTTGCTGGCCAGACTCATGCTGCTCTGACTTAACTGTCAAGATTGCTAATCCAGTTATCTAGTGCCAGTCTACTCCAAAACTGGATTATAACCTTTTGGTTGTGTACATATGCCCCCACTGCTTTCAGATCTCTGGCCTTCTTCAAATTGGAAAAGATTCAAATGAGCACAAGGATCCACATTCTGTTACTCACTCACATTTTACCCCAAGGCATATAGAAGCAAACCAAACACTGAATAACTTTATTTGCAGAATATATAAAAATGAAGAGACGTAACGATTTCAACCAACACAGTGATGCAGCTACGCAGGGCCAAATTCAATGTGAAGTTCATAGCATAGACCAGAAGAGAGTACTGGAGCAAGAATGTACTGGCAAAATGGCTTGTGTGTGAAATCCAGTGCAAGACTCCTTTACACACTGGCAAATTTGACCTTTGAGCCTGCACAAGCACGTGCATCTGACTTCACTCTTCCTTCCCCTTCAGATGTTGCTGGAGTGTCTTTTAGAGATTTATAAGGACATTTGGAATTGCCCACTTCATTAAGCTAAATACATTGAGTCTTTTTGAGATAGAACATCGCAGTCTCAACAAGCCCCCACATCTCTGTCACTCAGCAGAGTGGTGTAGCACCTCTAATGTTGCTACATCACTAACATTCAATTCATAACTGAGTAAGTTTCCATCAAGCTTAAAAAATTATGGGTTTTGTTTTTGTTTTTAAACAGAAGTGATAGTTCCTAAAATAAAATATTTTGAAAACAATCTCCCCCCCACCCAAAGTATCTTTATAAGCACATACAAATATGGTCCAACAATCTGAGCACAAAATTCATATGGTACCTAGTCAATTTGACACACTTATCTTTAAAAGCCTTCATGAATAAATCAACCCAACTCTCCACTATAATTGTTTTGCTGAATAAAACAAGAAATAAGCCACTTTTCACAGGTACTGTGTGTTTGCAGAAGGTCTGTGAATATTACAAGAATTACATTCTAGTATATTTTTGTTAGTCCTTGAAGAAACCAAACAGGAAGTAACAAACAGAGAAAGTATTTCATTAAATCAAGCATTAAAAAATAAACATAGTCCTACTTACATATTCCTGCGTAAAGTCTATGAGGTTTTGCAAATCAATGTCATCTCGGTATGCTCTGATGTTGTTGTTTATAAAGAAATACAGCTGGTCCTTGATCCAGTCTTTGAAAACAAATGCTAGAACACCAGCAGTGAGTTCCAAGAAGAAAATAATTCCAAGAAACACAGAAAACTATGAAGAAAAAGGAAAACGTTAAAATTATTTTACTGTCTTGCCAAAAATGTATTTTCCAAGGCTCGCAATTATGTGTGGTGGTAAAGCTTTGTCTGTTCCAGAGCAAACTCAACCTATTCACGCAAACAAAAAAAATTAAAAATACATCTTTTATTTTTTTTTTCATTAGAGCTGAAGCACAATACTCTTAATTTTATTCTAGCAAATAATAAAAATGCCAATGAACGCAAGCATTGGCACCTAAAGCAGGACATTTCACTGGAATTTCCAAAGAAGCCCAAAATTGTTTACTCTAAATTTCAACATTACTGCCTGGCCACCTGCCAGGCTCTTTGAAAACTCATGTAAAATTCCTGTATAGGCACTCCTATTTTCAAAGGTACTGAACAACAAATAGAACAAATTAAATGCTGTCTAAGTGACCTTCTCTTTAGACATCGTCATTGGTAAAACTTTGCCTAAGTGGGTAAAGCAAAAATTCTAACAACAGAAATTAATTAATGACTGAGTCAGAGAGGAATGTCTATGGAATGACTCATATCCACATTAAAACCAAACGAGGCTGTGATGATTAATGCAAATGCAATGGATGCCAAAGGCATTAGTAACGATCTGCCACTTTCTCTAAGCATCTCCACTGAGTCTACAGTGTTTTAAAACATGCTGGAGTCCTCATATACTGGAATTTCATCCCTTTTGCAACTGTGCCTTTAAGTCTCATTTTAATATGCTCTCTATGTTTGCTCAGATGCATTTTTAATTCCTCTGTCAGCTGCTGTATAGGAAGCTATTCCTGGTACAGCAGATGGGTACGTTTTAGAGAATATGAGAGAAAAAAAAAAAGAGAAAAAAACCAAAATTTACAATAGTTTTTCTTTCAGATTTTTTTTGTTTGTTTTTTTTGTTTGTTTGTTTGTTTTTAATAAAAGTAAGAAGAGAGCAAGCTAGAACTATCTTGAGCTGCTTCATAAACGGCTCAGTAACTGTCAGCCTCCTCCTGCAATACAATGTGTCAGTGAGAGCCAAATATGTGACCTGAAGACTGATTTTTCCACTGGAAACCTTTTTGAGTGTATATTAACAGTTAACAGTTAACAGTTATGAAGACAAATAGTATCCTGGCTAAGCACAACTCTGGAAGGTGTGACAGGAGAGGAAAATATCTTGATTTTATTCTGAATCTTAAATTTACATATGGCAATACGGTCTTTTTACATTAGCTACACAGTACAGAGCCAAGTCTTATCACAGCAAGCAATGCCTTCCTAGCAGTCCTATCTCTTCTGTACCATGAGAGAAACTTGCACAGCAAAAATCACATGGTTAACATTCAGTAGCTTATTATACGTTCCTCCTAATTCACAGGCAGCTGGTTATTGACTCTAACTTCAATTCAGGCTCTCAGTGACAGGAAGTCAAAATGTTAGGCTGTACCCGTATGAAAAGCAGTAGTTCCACGTTATGATTCTTACTATCAACAGCCCTAAACATTTTAAAAACAAAACAAACAACAACAACAAAAAAAAACAATAGGAAGCAGCAGAGACTCAAAAGAGATTCAGAGAACAATATTACAATATTCTTACATCAGTAACACCTTCTACTCCCCAAAAGGCCTTTAATATCTTTACACAGTTAAGCAGGAATATCAAGCATGACTTTCCCCATGTAACTACTGAATGCCACAGTTGCTACTCACAAATTTGAGAAGAAAGGTATTTTCTCTCAAAGCTCCAATGCATCCTGCAAATCCCAAAATGAACATAACTCCTCCTACCACTAGGAAGAGCCAAACTGGATCAAAGCCACCCAGGTCAGTGATGGAAGAGATGTTGGACAGCACTCCCTGGAAAGAAGTAACACCAGGAGTTAACACACATGGTCAAGCTTTCTGTTGTAAACATTCAGCTTGCATTTTTCTTTTTAAAAAGGTAGAGGTTTAAAGCAAACAAATGTTCTTCAGCACAACAAGAAAACAAAATCTTTGCATTAAACAGAGAGATAAAAAGGGTGATTGTGATCAATATTTCCAAATCAATGCATGGGAAGAACAAAAAAGTATTCTTCTAGAGTTCTCCGCAAAAAGTCAGATTGAGACATGAGAATAAAATTTAACTTGATTTTATTACCCACTGGGAGATGCATTTTGAGTATCGTATACGTTGTTCATATAAGCACAAACTTACAAATGTTATAATAGAAAAAGTGGTCAATAGCAAGAAAAACCTCTTAAGTTTAGACCCGGTATTTTCAACAACTGACAGAAATTAGAACTGAGCTTCTCAGTTAAATGCAGTATTTTGCAACAAATTTTATGTTATATTTTGACAATTTAAATACCAGGCTGATTAGAACTTCAGTCACCTACATGGCAAAACCTCATTAAGTAAGAAAAGCTTGGCTACTCTCTAATCAGTTAACAAAAAGAAACATTGAAATTGTGTTTTCCTAGTAGGACAGAAGGCCATTTAAAGACGTATCTGAGGATATGGTATGCACCAGCTTGGGTTAGATTTATCACACAGTAAACTATACACGCTGTATTTTAGATACAACAGTCAGCAGAGCCTACTTATGATGCCATTAATCCCTGAGGTACAGAGCTAGGGTTGTCATGCCAGGAGTCTTGAGAACCTGCTTTATTGATCTAAACACATTCTAGCCAGAGTTTGGCTGATGTTGAATTTATGGGCCATAACAAGGAGCAAATACAAAGTCTTCCTTATCCCAGTGAGATTGCAGAGGAACAGTTACAATTCCACAAAGCCTTCTGGCAGCAAAAAGCTGAAGCATCACTGTTCCTTCATTTAACTCCCTGGTGTCATATGTCAATACAAAGCACACTACTGCAGTGGACATTTCTGCACATGTTCCTTCAAAGAAGCCTGAATGCAGGCTGAGTGTTTTGGACTACTACTTTCCCTATTAACTCCTGAGTTGGCTATGGCTTGAAAAGCAACAATACAGATCTTCTCCTCTACAGCTTCTTGTTTGCAGATCTCAAGTTTTTCATCCTTTAACTTGTTCCTGCTCATATCCACTTTGCTTCTTTTGCTCCCAGAACAGCAATAGTTTTAAACAATGTTATCATAACATAATTTCCAAAAGTTGTTAGTAACACTGTTAACAAGTTACTCTTCATAATTGTAGCTTTAGATCCTTGATTTTATTTTTTAACACTCAATTTGGGCCACCCATAGCACATAAATAGTCACGCACCCAGTATCTCTAATACGGTACATCAGTCTGCAATCACTTCCATAATTTCCCCCACACAAAACTGACACTGAATAAATTGGAAATGAAGACAGTGCATAATACTTTTTATTTCTGAATGACAGACTGGATAAAATAGGTGCCTGAATTTCTCCAATGCACACAGCCTTGGAAGAGGCCAGAATACATAAGAAAACAACAACAACAAAAACTGAACACCATCTAACTTACAAACAACGAACAAGAATGAGTTAACATTCTCAGACTAGATTTTCCTCCTACTAGAGAAGGCAATCCCCCTCCAACAGAGGAAAAAAAATATATTCACTGCTTTCCTCCTACAGTACATACAGTACTAGACATTCTCATTCATTACAAAGGCAAGAATAGATGCAATGCATAATATAACACAATGCTGCTCAGAACCAGTATTGCTGTCAAACCAGAACAGTTGGTATGCCTCCTTTTCTAAGTAACCAGTGATGAGATACTGGTTACTTAGATACTGGATGAGGTACAAGTCAGACTGAGTTGAACACTTAAATCAATTTGTACAGAAGTTTTTCACTACTGTTTCTTGATTACATGAGCCATGAAAAAAGAAATCAAAAGATACAACTTTCTGGCTAAGAATAATAAACAGTAAGCAGCATAATCTAACACACAAACCTCTGAAAAAGGCATTACTTTGGACATACGCAAGTCAGGAAACACAAGATCTACCTCAAAGAAAAGGTCTGCTATAATGACTTCCAATCATGTTTGGAATCCTTTCTATGTTTTCTCCCAAGAGAACAAGTTATGCCTTAAGCAAAAACTACTCCTAATTTCTTTTAATATTAACTCATTTTTTTCATTAATGCACTACAGCAGAGGATAAAAACAATCACTGGAAAAAGGACATTGCCTAATGCAATTATTTTCCTTAAAAAAAAAAAAAAATCCAGAAGGATGAACGGACATTTAAGTCTCTCTTCATAAGACAGAAAGAAAGAAAAGAAAGAACAGTCTAATCAAGTTATTTCCTTTTGAAAGTAGTAAAATTCAAATCAAAGACAAAATCCAAGTGTAATTCAGTTAATGCCTATAGACCCTGCTCTTTGAGAACCTAGTCTTCATATAAATGAGTGTTAATAAGAAGAAATACACAACTTCATACTTTCATTACACCTAATGACAATAAAATTTAGCAAATTGGTTGTATTTATATTCCCTTTCTGATCGTGCCATTTCCCACCTTATTTGATTTTCTAGCACTGGCAGTTTCATGCCACAAGCTGGCTAGTCACTCAGCAAAAGTCACTCACATCTAAACAGAGTTCTCCTCCAGATTCTGATTGCTCAGTACAGCTGTGACCTGACATGTACTGAAGTAAAACAATACAGGCTTTATCTGCCATTTTTCGGTACCCTTGGAGAGCACCTTATGTGCATCTTTTGCTAGTCCACATATGACGATCATAAACCAATCTTGGATAAACTCCAAGTAATACATCCTGACAGCACAAAGCATACTGTGTAATTCTCATTTGTGTTGTGTGCTGTCTGCATACGAATCCTAACTTATCAGTAATCTGGAGATATGTCAGGATAAGCAGTCTTCAGAGTGGCTTTGGCAGTAAACAATTGCTAGCAAGAGGAACAACAAACACAGACAATGCTGTGTGCTTACACCAAGAGTTGCACAGAGATAGTGCTTTATTCTGGGGAACATACATTAGTGTCTCAGTTGCTAATTCTGTCTTCATCCCATCTTCAGTCAAAAGCAGAAAGAAATGTGTACGGAGGTGACTGAGCAGAGGAAGAGGGATCTCACAAGATAACACTGCTTATTCCAGAGACTCTCTGAATCCTCAAGGCTACCAGTCATGCATGTGGTGATTGTTCGCCAGCTCATTTCTTCCAGGGATGAAAAACCTAAACACATCACTGTAAAACTTTTAAAGTTGGGCTCTCTGCAAATGAAATTTTTCCCAGCAACACTACTGCAGAAGTCCAATCTTTACCACAATATAGTTGCAAGTACTATCGATATTCTGGCATCGAAGAGGAGAAAAAACATTTTTTTTTTCTTAAATCTATATTCACACTTTGAAAGTATGGCGATGTTTTTGGGGTACACACACAGCAATTCTTTGGTAGTTTAGACATATGTCTAATCTTTACTTGACAGTAAACACTTTGTGCAGAGCCACACATGCTAATACTTTTCTTCTCCCGGTGGCACCAATCCAGGGCTCCACTGCAGTCCCACAAGGAGAGCCAGCAGTACATGCTCTCTGGATGAGCTCCAGCTCATCTGCTTGCTCTGTTCCCCCACCCTCAACTGCCTGCTGTACATTTGGATGTTGAGGTTCTTAATCTTTTCATCCCCTGCAAGTCACTTTTTGTTCGCAGTTACGAAGGAACAAAACCATCCATAAATGAATTACAATCAATAATGGTGGTTATGAAAAAGTTGCTTTATTTGTGAAGTGTATCTGATTTTGGTCACTAGGATAGAATGACACAAGTGTACAACTGGAAAGACTGACATATTTCTAAACCACCTGACATACATGAGATAAGTCAAGTGAAACAGCAGGACCTGCTCCTTTCTCCAATGAAGGAGTAGTGGAGAAGCATTAGCAGTGCCTTCTGCCACACCAACAAAAAACAGATCACCAAGCCAGGCCCATGAGAAGCTCCTGCAAAAAAACATGAAGGTGACTCCCTCTAGTATAGGAGCAAACCATTTTAAGAGAGATGCCCGGATCTAGTGACCTGTGTTGTCATGCTGCTTTTTCTACATGGCCAGAACTGTGCACCCTACAAGCTGGATCTCATGCATAGCTCAAGACAAAGGAAAAATACTGATCTTGAAGACAGTTTCTTGATAAGGCCTCTCCCAGTATTATAGCTGCACTGCTGCTTGCTTTTATCCCATGAAAAAGGATGAAGAAAGTGACATTTACATCCACAAGGATTTCTCCATCCTATACAGAGATTACTAGGACCACTTATACCACTTTCCAAAGCTAGATCTCTAACTCCTGCTCTAACCTTTGATATTTGATACATATCTATATTATCTATATTAGCATTGCAGTTCATGTAAAGAGACTCCCCATAAACTATGCTTCAGTCCATATGAAAGTCTTAGACCACACAAACTAGATTACTGACAAATGAAGACGTGCCTCCGTAATATACAACTTGTGCTCAGATGCTAGGAGACTTTCAGTCCATGGGATCACCTAGAATTAACCTGAAGAAAACAGCAGCACACCCAGCAGTCCCCATGACAAACAATATTCCAGTGGGCCATAAAAAGAAGAAATCAACATGAGTAGGATGGGAGAACTCAAGAGGAAATGCACAGAAATATTTAAGATGGAAAAAAGCCACTAAACTTTTCTGCTGCAGAAGCACATTTCCAGGGTGAAGAAGAAAGTAAATGGTCAGAAAAAAGGTTCAGCAATACAAGACCTTCAGAAACATTTCTTCTCTGCAGCCTAAGAATTAACTTCTCCACAAGCCTGTCTTCCAGGACTTAGAAATGCTGACAAACAAAAACACACAGGAGTGAGTTCCAGATGTATTATTTTAAAATGGAAAAAAGATGTACTTTCACAAACTTTTTGCAATTTCTCCATGCTTGTATCTGAATAAGCATGAAGAATAGAACATTGGTCATTGAAATATGCCAAATTAATTCCACTCCAGCATTTAGTCTCTGCAATTTAGAAACTGGGTGAGCAGCGTTGACAGAACTTACTTCTTCGATTTTTATTGGTTTTGCATTTCCTACAGCAAACAGTAATAGCAGCAAATCTTTAATTTCCAAGCTTCTAGTGAATGATACTAGCCTAACTTCCTTACTGCAACAAAGTGAATAACTGTTAGAAATACATATAAGATACAGTTTTTTTCCATTTTTTAGGATAAATGGTTACAGGGTGTTGGAACACTTCTAAAAATTATTTTAAAACATCTTTAGATAATGAATCTTTATGTACTGAAATCTAAACCTAAATTTACCAGCGAGATCTAATTGACAAGAAAAAGTCAAGTTTAAAACTTGAGATCCAGACCAAGAGCTCCTACTCACCAACAGCACTGTGCAGGCACATAGACATACCATATTGTTATTCCAAAGAGTGGAAGTTGGCTTCTGAGCTGGAATATCTTCTATTTATGCTGATTTAATAAGAAAAACTTTGAAACTAAACTTATGCGTGCAACCAGCCTCTTCCACTTTTCCCACTTCATTTCAGTCAACCTTGTAAGTGAACTAAGACTGATCAACAGATTTTTTTCCATTTCCATTTTAAAATCTCTGCTTTTACAACCTATTACCTAATGCAGATTCCAAAACCTCAGTACTTGCTTTCTAAAAGCTCCCACTCTACAGTCCCCAAAAGCCTCAGAGGACATAAAACCAATTCATCATTCATTCTCACTTCACTTACATGTAAATCTCCTGCAGGTAGTGAGAAAACCGCAAAGTTTGTTTTCCTAAGTACCTACTGGCATCATACCACGAACACTCTCAATGAGCCTTAAGACCACATTATTTAATATTCACAACCAAGGAGGGAAGTGGACGTTTTGTACAGGGTGAATTTGTTTGTAAAAGGCAACAGAAAAAATTGCTTGAAGTGGTTTAAAAAGTTAGTGAAATATAATGACCGTATATTTTTTTCCTGCTGCTGAGCAAACACAGTGTAAGTTGCTTGGACCTTAGTATAGCCTTAGTATAGGAGGATGAGGAAGGGGTAGGTGTCAGCTGCTCAGTGGATGAACATCTTTTTCCTCAAATGGTACTAGACCAAGTCTAGTGTGCCCGAAAACACTGAGAGATTGTGAGCTATATAACTCATCTGTGGTATAGAAAGCTTTATTCATCCCTCAAGTTTATTGCCCCCACCTCCAGTTCTCTTTCTGAGTCCATGATTCAGAATGCTAATTGCTCAGATTTTGTTCAGGCCTGGCTGGCTGGCTGTCAAGCCAATTGTACTGCCTGGTTGACAAATGAGCTCTTTTGCCTCCCTGAAAAGGAAGGTCATGAGACTGTGTGTTTTTTTCTTTACTTTTTTTTTTTTCTTCATTTTAAAGTCTAAAGAGAATTCAAACCAATCTAGCAAAAAAGAGAAACCAACCACTAAATCAACTAATCTATCAGTCTCACCTGGCAACAAACAGGCTTCCTGTAAAATGTGGATTACTTCATTATATCCTGCATTTTTAACATGGCCTTGTACACTATTTTTCTGTGATGCAGCAGAACTATATACAAGTCAACAACCAGGACAAAGAACACCACAGCTAGATGTAAAAACAAATTATTAAACATAGAAATAAATCAAAACCCTCCCCGCTAATACACTACCTCACAGTACAGAAGTCCTTCTGAAGACCTAATCTGGCAAAAATGTGATAAATTTATGTTTACATATTATACAATAGTTCTATTAAGTTCAATACTGTCAAAATTTAGTTCATTGGGACAGCAGCAATCTTCACAGCACAACAGAACGTTCAAATAAAAAAAAGGCTTGAAAGAGTTTTGAGGCCCTAGTATAGAGCATCACTGACAAGAGCCTGGCTCCATTTTCTTTGCACCCTCCCAACATCTTCTGGGAGAGAGATTCCCCACCCCCACCTTAGTCTTCTCTTCTCAAGTCTGAACAGGCCCAGCTCACTCAACCTTTCTTGTAGGAAAGGTTCCTTATCTTCATGGCCCTTTGCTGGGCTCTTACCAGTATGTCCACATCCTCCATCTACAGGGGCCCAAAACCGGACCCAACACTCCAGCTGAAGCCTCACCAGAGCTGAGCAAAGGGAAAGGATCCCCTCCCTACACTTGCTGGCAATCCTTTGCCCAATGCAGTCCAGAAAATAATTAGCTAGAGTTGCCTTTGCAGCATGGGCATGCAGCTGGCTTCTGTTCAACCCACAGTCCACAAGTCCTTTTCTGCAGAGCTGCCTTCCTGTCTTACAGTGTACCATTACAACAGACCATGATGCAAAGAGATATTCACATCAGCCTTACACAAGAAGCAGCTAGCTAGAGAAGTGTTTTTCAATCATGTTACAGATCTTCCAAGTGTTTGGCTTCACCTGCTTGTCTGTCAGCTCCAGCTCACAAGCTGCAGTAAGAACAACTCTGTATGGGATGTAGCTGATCCACCTCTCCAGTTGCATGGGCACTACAATTACCTGGCACTTGATCCTAAGTCAAGTCCTGGCCATTTCCTGTCCCGAGGAAACGCTTAAGATGACATGATAATAGATACCTTGAGTAAAAACATGAACCGTGGTTCTTGATTATCTACTATTATGAATTGAAAGCATTCTTCCTTGAAGGTGGGGGTGGTTTCATATACAGACAATAAAAAAAACCAAACCAACCACCTTTCTGTTAGAACAACTTCTGGCTGCAGGGGCAGTGTATTTCAGACTGCACAAACTATAAAAGCTCTTTTCCCTTTACCTGCTCATTTATTCTAAATAGGAATAATCTGTATTACCACAGTAATTATACAAAAAATGTTAAGAACTTTTCTGGTAAGCTTCTCTGAAATATGTTACTTCTCTGAGGCTTAGACACAGGCATCACAAGCTCTGTGAGTATGCTCAGATAATTCAGCTAAACATGTTTGTACATTTCTGCTGACTGATAGTATCACTTTCCAAACCTATTCAAGGTTTCCAACATGAGCATCATATGGTAGGTAGGTAAATACATGTATATAACACACTTAAATACAAGCTTCTATGTACAAACATGTATATGGTGTGAGATAGTTTACACTCTATTACTGAGAGTTAGTTTTTGCACAGAGCAATTAAAATTTAAGTCAATAACTCACTTCCAAATCAGCAAAATTTGTTCTGAATTTAAGAGGCAAAACTCCAGTGTTTCCAATGTGGGTTTTTTCTGCTGCAAGTGCCAGTTATTACACCTAAAGTAAATATTAGTTTGAAACGAACTTAATGTTTTCAATCAAAAAAGAAAAACATGACTTAACTACATATCATAGCACCAGTGTTATCATCCAGGGTTGGATTTTGGTTTGTTGTTGGTGTTTGTTTTCCTTCATTTTCTAAAAAACAAGGAAGTTCTGGCTTTAATTTTAGCAGTTGTATTTTAGTAAGCCAATGCATGCTGACTTGTTTTGTATGTTATGCTTTGATACTTTATCTTCTTCCTTACTTCTGTAGTGAGCAAACTAAAAATCACACTTTGGTTCACAAGTGAATTCTCTCTCTCTCTCCACCTTCTCCTTCCTTTATTCCCATTTCCCAGTTGACTTTACAGTCTCAAAACAGAAAGATTTCCAGTGCATAACCTTATATTCTGCATAAGAAAAAAACTAAAATTTATTTTCTTTGCCTCAGGTTTCATTTGGTTTTCCTTAAGAGAAGCAGCAACAAGCAAGCTACGTGCAGATTACAAAGCCAAGAAGGCTCACTTTCAAGAAGTTGCCTTCTGAGACATGTAGGCTACCTCTCATTCCTAGGGACACGTGCAATGGAGACACACTGCCAACACTGCCTTCAGTAGAGCATTCTATTATCTGTGCTGCCGTTTGAGCATGTGTGGATTGAAATGGTTATTTTATGTGCAAGTGTCAGCCATGATTCCTTGCCAAAGCATTCTTGGGAAAAATGCCTCGGATCTTCCCCTAGGTGAACCTAGCCAAGGTTGTGTTTTATTTTTTTGACAGAGAAGCTTGATTTCGTTTCAAGAGAGACTGTGTGGACACACTAAATGTGCAGCATACTGCTATTTCAATATTTCATCAGAAAGAAAAATGTTTGTTTGGTGCTATATTCAACTTACCTTTTCATTCCATGCCCACAATCCAATCCCAAGAAATGCTATGCCAAGGAACTAAAGAGAAAAAGAAAAGAAGAAAAATATCAGAATAGAAACTATAAATGTAACGATTAATTTTTTTTTAAACATACATATTACCTCATCCTCTCTGTTGGATAATCAATTTTATCATGACTTTGGGGGCTTCCTAAGAGTTTTAAAACATGAATAGTTCTGTTTTCTTTATTTTACAGCTCAACCACTAGAACTGGTTGATTCCGCATATTGCACAGTGATATTTCCTGCAGAAACAGTAGACACAACAAACATCACTTTCTCAGCATCATGCAAATAAGGCTTCTTGAACTTGACAGACTACCCCCAAACCAAATTTCACAGTCAAGTAACAAATTATTTTCTCATTGCATTATCCACCACCTGTGAGAGCAACTGTCATCAAACCTCTTACAGATCACACACATTAAGAGAAAAGGATTAAAAGAAAGCCCTCAACGCATTTTTACTGTCAGTTTAAGCCATCTTACACACAAACACAGAAAACTGTTAAATGACATGAAAAAATGTCCTTCCCTCCACCAAGAAGAATCAAAAAAGAATATCCTCCCAAACAATGGAAAAGGGAACAGCATTTAGGGTTTTGTACATCCTTGTATTCTCTATTCCACCGAATAATTCAAGTGCATCATTCCCCTCTCAACACTACTGGATTTCCATATAAAACCCACATTAAGAATCTCTGAAACAAGCAGAAAAGGCAGACTCCATCTCCTGACATCACCACTGTATATTTGGCATGATACAGTACCATCATACAGAATACTTAAATGTATTCTGGGTGTCCAAGCACGTTTCTAAACATTCACCTGTCTAAATTTAATCCTTGGTTTTAAAACTTATGTACTGGCTAAAAACAAAATTATATGCACTCTAATTTCAGGACATGTAACAGAATATTCGAACATCAAACTCGTATTTTCTTGTGGTTTCCACACAGTGAGGTGCACAGACTTATTTTGGCACACAGCACACTTTCCCCTAATATCTACATAAACAGTCAAGTATCCTAATGATTTTTTTTCTTTTGCAAAACAGGACATTAGTGTTTTTCTTTGTTTAGAAGTGGCAGAAAGCACAAGACTTCTTTCTCAGAAGTGATTTCAACAACTTCAAAGCAAGACTCCTACTTACTTATATACACTTAGATTTCAGCCTCCATACCACCAAGAACTTCTATAAAGCATAATTCAAAAGGGAATACTCACTGTAATACCCTGAAGTTCCCAAATACCTCTCACATATATGAGATACTCTGCAAATGTACACTACCTGCCGAGCAAAGAAGGCACATATAAGACACTGCCAGCTCAGCCAGAAGCACATCGACACTACTCTCTTTTTTGATTTGAAGAGTCATGCCTGCGAATTTAAAGAGTACTATAAGCCAGCATTCCTCAAAAGAAACTGTCACAGGCTTGGCTATATTAAACACATGATAAATGGAAAAATTTCTTGAATAGCAAAACAGAACTGCTGGTCAAGAAAGTCTGCTATTTCAGAAGCCCTCATTGTCTATAACATACAAGAGATGGATTTGAAAGTATAGCCTCCTGTGACAAACCCATGAGCAAGAAAATGTTCTCTTACCTGTACCAAAAATACCTTATGGTTGGACAGCTTGCCAGAAATAGATAATCCCTCTGACTGAGTGATTATTTGAAACTTGCTGAGATAAAGCCGCACAAGTTTCCAAATAACTTTCAGGCTAACGCAGTTATTTTGCGGTGACAGGCTCCTTTCATTCTTTCTTACACAGACAAAAGCACCAAGGACTAAGGAATAGGAGTGGGGGGAAAAGAAAAACTGGATTTGGAAATTGTGAATTTTTATTTCTAGAGATACAAAACACTGTTTTGTGGGCAGCTGAAAATACTTTTGAACACAGCAAGCAAGGAAAACTAGAAAGAATTTGATCAGTGCCTATATATATGTAACTTAATAGCCATAAACATCAGCTGCTAGTCTGGCTCAGATCCACTAGCTGTATTAAATGTAATCCAGTCAAGTGTCCTTATCATTCACCAGATGTTGAAGCTTACAAGGGTAAGGTATTACTTCATGAGTTGCAAATGGTAACTTGTAGCCTACATGGGTCTCCAGCCAAACTGATCTCATCACCCAACTGTGAAGTGAGATGAGACTGCACTCTGCTAAGCTGGAGCACCTAAAAAAACTGATACTGTCAAGCTCCTGGCAGGCCTGTTAACAAAAAACAGGAAACATTCTCTTGAGAACTCTCAGACAGGACTCAAAGAAATATATGCTGCTCCATCCTCTTCATACTACAAAATGGAAATTTTTGTCCAGTTGCCTTCTGAGCAGCTGATGAAAGAGGAACAACAATTAGGAGAAGAAAACATTCAGGATGGAATCATGAGTTCTGTCACAGGATGCTGTAGAAACTGAACTCTCCAAGGCATTCAGAAGCAGAATTAGATAAATTCATTTAGGATCCACAGCTATCAAAGAGTGACTTAGGCACAGTTTCTGGCTCAGTAAGTTTTTAAACCATTGCTTACCAGGAGAACATAAGCAAGAGAAGATGCCTGTGTAGATGCTTTGTTGCTTGAACATCTCATTCCTTAGGCATACTCTTCCTTGCATTAGTTGAGTCAAAACAGTGAGCAAGAAATGCAGTTGGCCTAACTCCCTACACTCGCTCTCCAGAAATGCTTACTCTCACACAAACAGCCTGCTGGGAGGATGAAACTCAGAGGAATGTTCTCAGTAATCCCCACTGGCAGAAGAGAGATGTTTGCTAGGAGACTTACACCTCTTCCCAGGATTAACTTGAGAATTCCTTGACAATTATGAAAGAAACTTTTCAGCAGCTTTTAGGAAGCGCTTAGCAAAAATCCCTCCATATTTTTGCTATTAGAAGCAGAGGTAAAACAGGATGCACACTCTGCTTATCTTGCAATTTTTCAGCAGTTCTCCATGAGTGTTTTATTCTGCTTGTTTGTAATCAAGAAGAAAATCTCTTCACCCTAAGCACATGGGAAGAGAATGGCATAATATGTATTTTCTCAATTAAGTCTGGAATATTTTATTTAAGTCCTTTAAATTATTCCAATGAGTAATCAAGAGGTGGAAGTTTGTCTCATTATTACAGGAAAGACAGCTTTAATTCTCCCCAGATATCTAGTAGGACCATTCAGCCTAACTGTAAATGGTGACCGGATCTAGGAAAAAGCTTGTAAAGTCTTGTTTGTTTGTTTCCAAACAATAGTTTGCAAGAGAACATTAAAGCATTCCCCCACAGTATCACAGCATTACAAAAGACTCGCATAATAGCACTTTTTGAGCCGTAGGTTTTGACTCCATAAGCACCAAATAAATGTGTTCAAATTTCTCTTTTCTAAAGCATGTAGCAATATTTGTACTGCTGCTCTGCTCATAAAGTTTATGTGCTGTTTTCAGAAGTGGATTGATGAATAAGTTCTTCAAGCTGCATATATCTTATTCCTAGTCTTAGCTGCATGGAAGAAAATGATTTCTTGTTGCTAGGGATACAGCGTTATGCGGAACACTATTTCATTTGAAGGATGCTGAGGTAAATACTAATGTAAACATGAGATACAACTTCAGAGAGAGATGAGCTTAAGCAGAGCGATTAGACATTTCATATACCAAATTTTTCATTTCAGCTGACACAGTGACTTGGCAGCAGTTTTCAATCAAAAGCACAACAACCACAGACCACGCAGCAAAAAGGCTGGTTAATTTTCCATAAGCCAGTGTATGTCCACGTGTGAATGCATTATTAAAGAGTTGTGAGAGAAGGAACTAGAGCACAGCTGCCTTTCTGCCTTCACCACACCATACAAACACACTAGCAAAAAGCATGTCAAACCTGAGAAAGCTCAGAGACGGAACTTCCTAACAACTGCTTTATTAAGTTACATACTTAAGGGAGCAAATTTCTCATCTTCCCTGTGTGCTTCAAGAGCTGTGTGTAGTGTTAGCAAGGAGACTCAGGATTCCTACAACTGGTTCTGTGTTTCTTCCTCGGCAATATCCTGCAGGCTCTTCACACAGCAACATTTCCTCCTGTGCGATTCCAGCCAGTACAACAAGGCACAGCGAGGTACAGTAGTTTACTGATAAATGCAGCAAGAGACCAGGACACTATGAAGAAGTTTTTTTTCACATCCTGAAACACAATCAGGAAAACACAGCACTTCTGAACTTAGCACATGTGTAAAAGCAGCACTGACAAGTTCCTAACCGAGTCCAAAATTCCAGACGAATAATTTTTCCCTAAGCACTTCCTCCGCAACAGCCTGTGTTAACATGCACTCGTAGAAATTTCAAAGACAGAACACTCACTGCCTTCTTTAAAGTATTTTATACGAAATCAACCTCTTGGCTTTCCAAGCAAGGGCAAAAAGGAGATAAATTACTCCATCAGAGCACAAAATATTACTGTTACTTAGCTTTAGGTAGTACTGACAGAGAAAGGATGCCAAAACAGAATTTAAAATAAAGATTTGTGCACTTTGTTTCTGCTTTTTATGCCACTGATGTGTACCCTGCTTTAAGTATGTCAATTGGTATTCTTTCTAACAATTGAAATAAGACACTCTCTTAACTCTTTTGTCAGCCTCACAGCTTCCAGCAAGACCAGTATTGCACAGGAGGAAGATAGTAGAAGTCGTGCTTTGTTCCTGCTTCCCTATGCTCTGGTTCCAGTATTCTTTCTGTTCTGAAACCAACCTAGCACAGAATTTCATTTTCAGGTGGCTAAATACACGTGCCACAAGAAAGGCAAACTGCTCAAAATGTACACATTCATTTACATATTTATGACAATGCTTATAAAAAAAAAAGTGTCCACCTAAAGCCCACCTCTTGTTCCTCTTGAGATATTACCAGCAAGACTACTTGACGTACTACAGTTAATGAACAAAGTTGCTACAAATGTGACTAATTACTATTTTGGTCCATAGCAATATTCAGATATAGACTGAATATAGGCTAAAAAAAATGTCCAATTT